GCGCAGGTGACGACTCCCCCGCTTTAATAATAAAATAGATTGATGAAGTGGGAATTGCACTTGACTTACATCTCTGGCCGACAGTGTTTAGGTTTTTCCAGTTTGTGTCCTTCTAAAATTTTCGTCCGAGCTTCGTATGCGTCTTTGATGTCGGAGTAAGGCGTGGATCCGAAAGTTGCGATTTCCCAGAGTACGATGCCGAACGACCATACTTCTGTTTTTAACGTGTACACATGGTCCCTGATCGACTCCGGTGCCATCCATCTCACTGGTAAGGGTACCTGAAATATGGCGAGCATGAGATACAATGTATTAGACACGATGAATTACTGTATGCTTCGTACTATAGTTGATCTAAGGCATGATTATTCCGGTATATTCAATGAATACGAGGTTATTACAAGGATACCGAAAAGTATGCACGAAGACAGTACAGCGAAGTATCGACCGACGCGCACCATCTTCGTTTTTGTTATTAAGAGGACGCTCACGCGCGTAGTCGCTCCATATTTGGAACTCGCATTTCCTAATACGGTAGAATAAAAATGACCCGTAAAATACCGCAAAATTACGGCACGCTGTGACATATGGCGTTATGGTGACAGATGTATAATAATATGCGTTATTCCAGGTAAAAATGTGGACTATATTCATATTGTTCGACCCCCGCATTGACGTCTCCGACACGCCTCTGCCAGACTCTTCTGAATTTATACCTCTATGGTAGATATACCAGACTGAAATATATATTCCCCTGCTCCCTCCCAAATTTATTTACCTGAGACTGCCTTAGATAAATACCATCAGTATTCATCTGCTTGGCCATTCCAAAATCGCTTATTCTACAATCTTTATCCCGTGTGATCAGCACATTACGGGCTGCCAAATCACGATGCAGGCACTGTCAATAATAAACACACACACGTGACTTATTATGAAGGCAACATTGCCGACAACCATTGGCCCAAGTTTATAAATGTCCGTTACTTGGAGTGAGAAGGTGCAAACTGATTGTGATGTGGGACCTATATCGAAACAATTTACCCCAGTCGAGTGACTCTAACATTCGGGTTGATCTTAGTTATCAATATTCAGTTATTCAACATGTATCCGTTTATTAGCCCCCCACCCCATCGCCCAACTTAATACAAATCCGAAAGTTAGACTAGGGTTTGACGCAAAATAATTATAATGTGTACGATCGATAAGATTTCGTTACTCACATTTGAATCCGCCAAGAAACACATGCCCTCAGATATCTGACACGCGAATTTCATCAAGTCGTTGCTCGTCAATATTATCTGAGGACCATATTCACGGCGGTTGTGGTAGCTTTGGTTCCCATGTTTCCGGAGATAGTTCCTCAAATTCCCATTCTCGCAGAACTCCATAATAATGCATTTAACCGCGTCTGGAGCAATGCGCAATAGAAATAGAGTCAGAAACTGATTGTCTACTTTATAAGTTTACATAAAACCCAGTAAACGTATTAAAACTGATCATAAGATTAAAGCGGGAGGGTCGTCTCACTTGCGCACGCGCCGGAAGTGAGTCCCAAGCGATGATAACAACACACGCTAAAAAGCTAAAAACGCAAAGGCTCATGGTTAGACGCGTGTTTGTAAACAATGGCCATCTCACGCATGCGCAGGCGACGACTCCCCCGCTTTAATTACGTATGCCGTATTGTGAGTATCCAAGTTTCATGTAAGCATTAACTTTGAATTTGTTGTGTATAACTGTTTATTACTTGTGATGTGAGGTAGATATGACCAGCTTATCCCTTGTCATGGTTAAAAAAACACTATAATTCTTTCGTTTGTGTAATTAACATGGGTATATTTTTAAACTTAATATTTTCTCGAAAGATTTGGTACAACAATATCGCTAGAAGACACTTCACTTTAAGTTTAGAAGAATTATGAAAACTCAACATTGATTTTGGAATGGTAAAACAACTGTAAACAACATTTATTTAATGTACCAATTTCTACCACGTGAAAATAGTAATAGAACAATCATAAAGTCGGTTTTATATTTTCGTGATATCGACAAATAATGTAATATATAGATACACATTAACAGACAAATTACAACTCCATAAAATCTAGAATATGAAATTACTTTTATTTTTGTTATATGCATTAAAGGCCATGTATATTATATAATAATAATAATAATAATAATAATACTATAACTACTACTACTACTACTACTACTACTAATAATAATAATAATAGTAGTAATAATAATAATATTTCAAGAAATATTGTTTATAACAATTAACATTTAAGTGTATCGGCGTATTTTGTGATTCTAGGCTATGATGTCAAAAGTTCAATCTGCTTGCATGGACCAATCAGATTTTCGGAGATTTGTATTACGTAATATTGAAATGTACTAGTATACAATTACTACACTCATTTATTGCACCTCATACAACTAATATTAAAAACAGTATTTTACGTTTTTACAGGAAATAAAATGAAAGTTCCATTCACAGTAAAAAAAATGGGTTTTTACACTTTACAGATAAAGCAAACTCCTAATTACATTATACATTTTAAGAATATTTTTTTATAGTTTGGGTTTAAGAATCAAAATTGGACATTCAATTCGGAAAAATGCTTTATACGCTTACAAAAAATAAGATCTTTGTACAAATTACGGACGAATAAAATAGCTGATTACATTTTACACCTTGTGTATGTCTACGAATTTACGTTTTTTTTTATTTATTTAAATTACATTATTACGAAAATAAAATTGATTGCAGCTTACGAAAATACCCCTTGCCGACCCTCATACATGGAATGAGATAATTTATTCACTTACTGGACAGCGGGTGAACACAGTATCCAATCACGGCGATGATGAATTTAGAACAGGGTAACAGCGACGCCAGGATTTCACATTCTCTTGTGAGAGAAGCTTGCTCACTTGTACAATCGGGGTCTGAAAACACATGACTTACGCTTAGAACTGTGTTGTTGTTAAAATTTAGCATTGTATAATAAAGTTCACAATGAAGTATAACATAATATAACCCTACTAACTGCTTATATATCAGAGAAAACAGTTCACGGGTAGTGTGTTGGTTTTTCAACCAGACCCCGAAAATCAGCCTGGGGATAAACCCTGATCTCGACACCCGCCCTCAACGAGTGTGACACAGACTCAAAGTCAATGGAATCATTCACTAAAATAAAATGTGTAGCACAAACATAATACATATGATACGTGAAATTCTATGCAATTTCACTTGCAACAAAAACCAGAGACGACGTTGACATTCATTACCAGGAGCAATTAGATTGTATTTAAAATAAAATTCTACTCACGTTTCACCGTCTTCACTGCTACGGCGCCAGATGTCATCCCCGACGAGGAGTGAATTGTCGCTTTGTGGACTTCTCCGAATTCTCCACTCCCGATCTTCTCAATGAATCGAAGGCGACGGCATGCGTTACATGGAGATTTCACAGGGACGTACCCGACACCTCCTAAGTATGGGTACGTGCTATCCGTTCTGTACGTCAAGTCGCTGTCGATGGTGTCAATTGAGCCTACACCCGGCGGGAAGTTCACTAAATCGCGAAGACTCGAGTCATCCCTTGGACGGAGCAGTGGCGGCGGGTAGGTATTGTGTCGTTGTCTGCCGCGTATATTATCAACATATGCAGATGCATCGCCTCCACCCAACAAGATGATGCTTAATTGCGAGTAGCTAACAGGTAAGTGAGCAGTAGCTGGAATACCACTTGTTTGAGGGAGGGTCGAAAGTGATTGGAACACCTCCTGAATGTGAATAAAATATTGATTTGCAAATATACCAGGACTATATTGTCAGAGAATATTGACGAATATAATGCTTGCAATACTTTTCCATTAAAAGGCGGTAGTCGTCTCGCTGCGCATGTGCGACATTTGTGTTGATGAACATTGATTTTCCAACAATGCAATGCGCTCTTCTAATAGAAATCACAAGTATGAGGTTTGAACTGGGCGCGACTAGCACTAAATACCGCTCGTGACTCCTTCAACACCTTCTAAACACCTAACAAAATACCTAATTAAAGCTTGGTAACGCCTTAGTTTGTACCCATTGATCTGCGCAACAGTCACTTTCTTTGTTTATATGAGACCAATATATCTCGCGCATGCGTGGCGCGACGACTACCGCCCTTTAATCTTATAAACTTATAAACTGTATTAAAGATCCCCCTAATCGCAGAAATGCTCATATACACCATCTTACACAGATCAGATCAATCGGAGAGTAGCTAGCATGATGATACAGTTGTTTTGACGTGTACAAAGGTCGCGAGTGATAAAGGTTGATTTTGGCGGACAGGGGTCAAAATGTAAATACTGACCAATGAGGTTGTTTTAAATCGGGGGGGG